GGCTATCAAAAGATACTTCCTTGTAAACTGAATTCCAACAATGACTATTTAATCATTGTGAAGGTATACAATGTAAATTTGGACTAAACGGCCTGTGTACTGTAGCTTACGGCTAAAGGTGAGAGAAAGGAGTGGGGGATGAAGGCCATTTGAAACAGTGACTTGGCTTGGTTTTCAGGAGTGCAGGATTTGACCCCACAATGCAAAGGCACACAGAAGTAATGCTTTTCTGACAGGACTTATCCAAGTTTTCCCAACAGGGGCATGAGGCAGGCAACTTAGGGGGGTCGTGGGGAAGTCTGAGGTAGCTGCCACCAGCTGGCCTCTGTCCCTTGAGGTACTGGCATCACTCTGCTTAAAGGAGGGCCTTCCCACCAGCTCCATCCTGCTGAGAAGACCAGAAAATGTTTCCAGGTGGGAGAACATACAGACGGGGTCAAGAACTGCGCACGGGGTGTTTTCTTTCCTAAAATCTTGATTTACACACGCTACAAAAGTCCACTTCTCCAGCCATGGAGCAGGACGTAGACACGTCCTCGGCTCCTGCCAAGGGGACTAAGCATCCCATGCCATGGGACCGAGGCACCCTGACAAAGCGGGAAGGAAAGGCGCTTTCCCTGTGGAAGGGCCCACGTGCTAACGATCCGAAGGCCTGGGGAGATTTCTGTCTGCTTCTCTTCTGTGTGTAGGGGTAGGCGAAATGGGAGGGATCCAGTGGGTTATGTTGTCTGGACCTCCCTCCCACCCCAGCCACCTCTGCAAAAGTCCAAGATGCAAGATGACGAAAGGAAGAAGGTAGAGGAAAGCAGGAGTTCCACTGAGCTTTCCAGAGCCTTTAGGTATCTCTTTCACCCAGCACGGGGCAGCACAACTGCTCCTCAAGAATTGTCCAGAGAGCCCTTTCGGGGTGCCCCAAGCCAGGCAGGAGATGGGGCACCGTGGCCTCAGCTGCACCAGCAAGAAATTGTTCGAAGAAGAGGCTCTCAAGTTTGCCTTGTCCAAGAGCAGAAAGAAGGGCAGGTTTTGGTCCCTGGCTGAAATCAGAGTGGAAAAGAGAGGCTGGTCCGCATGGCATGAAGTGACCATGGTGGTTTCAGACCTGCCATTTTACCCACCACTTTATCTACCTGGAGATCAAGGGAGGAAACCCACACAGTCAGGTGTTTCTCTCGGAAAGGCCTGCAGTGCTAAAAGAGGCCATTGTGGCGTTCTGGTGGTCCCAAGTCCCTGGACAAGCCAGAACACCTGCGGCAGGACAGCCTGCCCTCTAGGTCAGACTTTCCAGAAGTTTTCCAAGAAGTTCCTTCACCTTCTGAGTATCTAAATTAGGTTGGGCCGTGCAGCAGATAAAGGCCAGAACACTGGGTGGGTGAGACAAATTCTCCTGGAAGGCCCCCAGACCCAAAACACACCAGCACGGCTTGATCACATGTTCCTGGGGGTTATTTCCCCCAAATAATTAGAATAATTGGATCACATATCTGCAATGTGTTTCCCACATAATAAGCTGACTGAACATTGGTGACTCCTTTCTCCATCCCCTTTTTCTTGTCTGAACTCCTTTTTATCCAGTCCTTCTCTAACAGCATACCTCTCCCTCTATCGTTTCTTCTCCAACAGCTTCAGATGTGACTTCAGATGCAAAGTTTAAAAAATGGTATTATTAAAGCTTAACAGGTGACAATATAGTATAAATCACAGTAGCATTCTCCTTGGGATGACAGAGAAGCCTCTGCCCATGTGATGAGTTAACTCCGAACAGAAACACCCCTTCTTCCCTCCCTTTCAGGGCCAAGCAGCAAGAATTTATTTTTTATTATTTTATTTTATTTACAATTGTTATATGCCATCCCTTATGCATAGCATCTCATGGTGATGCTGGACACTTTGTGAGGGTCATTTCAGCTGCTTACTGACCGGGGCCCATCATGCTGTTCAGAAATGTCAACACACGTCACTGATCTACCCCAGGCAGAGAGGGGCTTTTGAGTTGCTGCTGAAAACACATTTTTAAAAGAGCTCACGGTGGCTCATGGTATTTCCACGCATGTTGTTCTCAGCAAGGGAGCCCCGGGTGACGGTCGTGCCATCGTGCTGTCGAGAGGCCAGCTCCCTTGACCTTTCTCAACTGTTCTCAGAAGGCAGCTGCTCCATCAGGGCTCCAGGTCTGCTCCCATCCTGGCTGGCTGTCATGAGAAGGGCTATACCGCTCAGAACTGGTGCTGAGGTTACTCTGAGGCTTTTTTTCCTCCTCCTTCCCCACCTGTTTTTCCTCTTGTATCAGGTCTTCTAGTTCTAAACCTCAGCTCAGAGAAAGTCATACAACCAGGTTTTCTACGAGCCTGTTTGGCTCTCAGGAGGAGGTGGGGCTGGGATGGGGTGGGATGGAGGACAAAAATGCTTAGAACAAATTTAATAATCTCCGGATAAGAACCCCCAAATCCGAAATGATTGTGGACTCGGCCGTAGTGTCAAAGCCCGGGGGCCTGAAACGCTGCAACAGGGTTATCCCTGGATAATATCCTTTGCGGTTTCTTTCTGTGCGGGAAGATTTCGTTGGGCGTATCTTCTCGAACCCAGACCAAGGGCTTCGACATTTTGGTTAAATCAGTCTTATTTCCCAAGCTTTCCAAGAGAACGCTTGTTCCCTCCTTCTTCCACTAGATGGCGCTCTAAGACAAGCTAAGATTCTCCAGGAGCCATTTAAAAAATATGTGACGCATTATTGCTTGGTTTGATCCAGAAATGTTAAAGTAACAGAATTACCACCCTCTCCCAAGCAGTTGCGATGTTAAATGGACACCAAGAGTGGCATTTTGGAAACCCAGGAGTGAAGCTTGCTTTGCAGAAAAAACAGATGTGAGTGCTCACGAGGAGGAGCGAGTCGCCTCCAGGTGACGGCGGTTTGGGCTGAGATTTTGGGGTTTGAAGCTCACTTCAAATGCCTTGCCGTAGGCATTTCTTTTTTTCGATCTCTTTTTAATTAGAATTGCAAATCGTGCTTATAGAATCGTGCTTTTCAGTCGGCTGTAGTTCTGGTGACACATTGCATGCAACGGTCCTTGTTGTGAGTCGCGAAGTCGTGTCCGACGCACGGCAACCCCATGGGCAACATTCCTCCAGGCCTTCCTGTCCTCCACCATCCCCCGGAGTCCCTTTAAAATGTATTTATTTTACATTCAGTTCAGCAGCTCAGATTGGTGGGTGTGCATGCTACGGACTGGCTGATGCAGTGGCTGCGGGTCGAAAAGGCAACCGCAGTCGATGCAGGCAATTCAACTGGTCGGGCTGCTCCCTGGATTGCCACTGCGTATTGCTTTAACTCGTCCTTCGGGCAGCTTGGGGCGTGTTCGGGATGCGAGGCTCGGCGGAGAAATGGCGCCCTCCTGCACGCGGGGGTGCAACTGGGGCGTCTCTGTCCCGGTCTGTCGGCGTCGGGGCTCGCCTGCAGCGGTCCGCAAAGCAGGCGTGGCGGCTTCCTTTGCAAGAGGCCGGCTCTGCACCCCCGAGGGAGGGCGATCCTGGACGCCGGCGATGCACGAGCGTCCCTGCAGCCCTCTCTGCTGTGGGGAAGCGCCTCAGGCTCGGACACGTGTTGGTCGGCCCCTTGCGCCTTCTCGAAAAGTTCTCTTCTCTCCTGCAAAGGCGGCGGGTCCCGGATCGTAAGCACGGGACGGGGGGAGGTGCAGAGGGACCGGCGGGGGGGGGGGGGCCAAGGTCCTCCGCCCCGGCAGAGGGCGCCCTTGCGGTCCTGCGGGAAGGGAGGCGGGGGGGGAGCTCAGCCAGCAGCTGAGCCAGGCTGGGCCGGGCTATGGCGTGGGCTGGATGCTAACGGCGGAGCGGCACGGGCATCGTCGCCGGAGCCTGCACAGGTAGGGGGGCGTGCGTGCGGGCGGGCGGGCGTGCCCCCTCCCTTCCCGTCCCTTCCCCGGTGCAAGCCCCGCTCTGCTCTCCCTGCCTCCCCCGCCTCAGCCCTCCCGGATCTGGGGCTGTGCGCTGCATTGGGCAGCAGCCGCCTTCTCACGTTACTTTGCGAGGCACTCGCAGCGCCTCTCCCTTGCAGTTTAGTGTTCCTCGCATTTGGGGGGCGGGGGCGGGGGCGGGACGCGCCCTCCTCGCTTGTGTGGATTCCCCCCACTTCTGCCCCAGTTGGGACACCCGGCAGGACAGCCTCCCCCCCCC